TGCGCGGCGGGGCGGGCTTATCGCCCGTCGTGGCCTCGCGGGCGGGTCCCCGACGCGGCCGCCGCCGCCGCCCGGGGCAGAGGGCACGGCGGTTCCCACGCTCCGGCCCCGGCCGGGGGCGTTCTCGGGACCGCGTGGCCGCGCTCGCAGCCGCCGCCGAGGCCGGGCTGTAATTAGGGTAATTGCGCCGCTCCCCGCCCGGGGCAGCTCGGGACCCCGCTGCGCCGCGCTGGCCGGGGAGGGCAGGGGGCAGCCAGGCGGGGGCGCCGCAGTCCCTGGCGCAGCCCGTTCCTCCAGGCAGGTGAGTCAGCACGCCTGGGTGGCCCGGGCAGAGAAGGGGGCTTTGTGGGGAAATGAGGGAAAGGGAGAGAACTAGCGATGGTGGAGCGCCTACTGAGCACCGAAGGCTGTGGGTTAGGCTGCTCCATCTCTGCTCGACATTGGGGTGTTGACTGGAGTAGCTGAGAACGTCTGAGCCTCCCCGTGGCGTCTGCCCCAGAGAAGGTGGTCAAAACACAGAATAGCATCCTAATCTGCATGGCAATTTAACAGGTGGGCATTAGGAAGCCCCGAAGGGTTAAGTGCCCAAGATTCCATGCCGGTACATCCATGCTTTGGGAAGGACGAAAATGAAGACCCTGTGCCCAGCAGATGCTGATCTTGCTCCCTCCAGCACCTCGATTTTACTATACCTTGAATCCCACCCTAAAGTCTAGCCCTGGTCCTTAGGTTCTTGGCAGGCCTCACCATAACCCCAGAGCCTCATCACTGATACAAGCCACATGAAATCCTCCTGGAAAAGGCAGGTTAAAACGAGATGATCCAATTTCAAGATCCCATCTCTAATCCTAAACCCAATCTGAACCTTTACCCTGCTCCATACCTGACTCCCAAATTAATCTTGACCTTGGCCCCTGCCCATGTCTTCAACCTTCTCCTCCCCAAAGATCCTCTGCTACTCCTCACACGGCCGCAGATACCGTCCTTTCAGCAGCAGTTTCAAGCCTCTGGGTCTTTGCACATGCTGCGGCCTCTGGCTGGGATATCTTTTTACCATGGCCACATGGTGAACTCTCACCTTTCAAGGTCCTTGGCAGTCCCTCGTGTTCCATTTCCAGCCCTGTGCCACCTTGTCCCCTGAGTTCAAGTCTTCAGGCTCTGAGCTCTTAGAGGGTAGGGTCACAGTCTGCTGGAAGTAGAAATTGGAAGTAGAAACGATTGTGAATGAGTGAGTGAATGAATGAGTAAGGGAATGAATGAGTGAATGAATTATTGAGTAAATAAGTGAATACCTATTCTGAACCTGAATCCTTATGCCTCTCCCTGGATTCCTTCCCAAGTGGAAGACCAAGGGAACCCCCTGCCCCCAGGTTCCCTGAGATTGTTAGTTCTGTGTGTGTATGTGTGTGTATGTGTGTGTGCTTACACAGGGACACACATGCACATATGTGCATATGCATTTGAGCCCTGAACTTTGAATCAGACAGTCTGGGGTCCACTCCTGGCCACAGTGTTTACCAGCTGGGTGACCTGAATAGATGCCTTCATCTCTCTGGGCCTCCAAAAATGTGGTAACCATAATAAACCCTGTCATAGAGAATCAGCTCTCATTCCTCTGTTCATTCATCCTCCCCAGAACCCCTTGCGTGCAGCAGGCTCAGTGCTGCAGGAGGGGGTGGAAGGAACACAGTCTTTCCCCTCAAGGAGCACCAGTAAGGACAGAAGGCAGGTCTGCAGGGAAGGGGGACAGCCCCTGGGTGGAGAGGGAGGCTTCACAGAGGATGTGAGAATCACTCCAGGTTTGCTGCTGGACAAGTCAAGGCAAAGGCAGCCACATGTTCAAAGACAGCAGCTGTGAACAAAGGTTCCCTATTATTGCTGGAGGATGAAGTGGGAGGTGGGGGTGGTGGCAGAAATTGGGGCCGCTGAGGGTGGCAGAGACTGGATCAGGAAAGGCTTTGGGGGCAGTCTGCGAAGTGTGCACTTTATCCTGTAGGTAATGGGGAGCCATTGCAGGTTTGGGCAGGGAAGACTAGCAGTGTGGAGGACAGCATGGAGGTGGCCATCGTGGAAAGCTGGTGGGGCAGCACAAGGGACATAAAGGGATGTTGGTGTTAGCTAACCTTTACTGAGTGCCCACTATGTGCCGGGCGCTGTTTAAATGCTTTAATATTTTGATTCATTTAATTCCTGTAGCACCTGTACAAAACAGGTTATTTCATGAAGCCTTTCTCCTTCTAGAAATGCCATCTAGGTACTAAAGTCTCTCACATTTCTATCTCCAGCCTGGACCTCCCCTCTGAACTCCAGACCTATGTGTGCAACAGCCCACTGGCCTCTCTACTGGATGTCTAATGGGAGCATAATAACATCCGCATGTCTAAGAATGATCTCCCCAGAGATCTCCCCAAACCTGCTCCTCTCTCTGTCTTCCCCATCTCAGTAAATGGCAATTGCATTCTTCCGGTTGCCCAGGCTAAACACTTTGAAATCATTCCTGTATCCCTGTCCAACCCCACCCCAACACTTTTTCTCACTCCCACATCCAATTCATCTGCAGATCCTGTGGATTCTGACTTCAGCAGATATTCTCCATCTGACCGCTCCTCACCTCCCAACTGCTGTCCCCTGCCTGGACAACTGCAGCAGCTCCGTTACTGACTGGCCTCCCTGCTGCTGCCCCTTCCGTCCATATGAAACAGCTCGTGTGATCTTACCCATAAAGTCAGATCAGGTCCCTCCCCTGCTCACATGTTTCCATCCCCCTAGAGACAAAGTCAAAGTCCTGATGATAGCAGAGAGATCCCAACGTGATCTAGCCCTTCTCTCCTCCAGCCACTTATCTGACCTCTTCTTCCAGACTCTTCCCCCGACTCTGCCCCAGACACAAGGACTTCCTTGCCAGTTCTCCAACAGCCCAAGTGCCCATTAGCCTCAGAATTCTTGTACTTGCTGTTCCCTCTGCCTGGAATGCCATCTCCCCATAGATCATGTAATTTTCTCCTTCAAATTTCTGCTCAAATGTCACCTTATTAGCCAGGCCCTCCTTAACCATCCCATTAAAACTAACAACTCACCTTCCTCCCACCCATGTACTCTCAGCCCCCTTCCCTCTTTATTGTTTATAACACATATCTCCATCATCGGAATAGTTTTATATATTATATTTTACTTTTTGGTTTATTGTCTTTCTCTCCCCTCACCACACTAGAATGGCAGTTCCATGAAGACAGGGATGTTTCTGTATTTGCTTCACTGCCACATCCCCAGAGTCTAGAGTATTGCAGGTGCTCAATAAGTTCATTTGGATGTTGGATCTGAACCTCATGATGAGGTTTGATTGTCGAATATGCACCTTACAGGTGGAGAAATGGAGGCATGAAGAGGTTAAGTAAACTTGCCTAAGATGGCACACTAGTAAGTGGTTACAGTGGGATGATGGGCCCGGAATATAGGCAGTGACAGCAGTGGGGCAGGACAGGAGGGAACTAATGAAAATGAGGACCTGCCAGACGAGCTCAGATGACTGGGCCCCAAGTCCATGGGCTTGACTGCTGCTGCCCCAGGGGGTGACCTTGATATTGTGGGACCTCTGGGAGTTGACATGAAGGTTAAATGAGCTTAGACTTGAAAATACATTGTATATGTAGTGAAAAGAGATTTTCTTTAAAATCCCATGAATTTTTAATTTCCAGCAATTTTCCTGGCCTTCCCCACCCTTGATGCTGATGCATTCGTCTCTTCTAAGAGAGGCAGATTCAGCAGCAGACAGACACTGGTCCTCATCTTCAACTTTCTAGATGGACATTCTGAAAGAGGAGAGCAAACATGACAATGTCAGAATACAGAATTCCAGTTTAAAGACCTACATGTTTGGGAGAGGTAAAGAGTTTTTCTGAACCCCCAAACTTCCTTTTAAATGTCAAGACCTGGAGTCTGGCCAAGTAGGAGCGTGGACTTTTTACTCTGAGCCCTGGAGGGAGGGAAGGGAGGAGGTGAAGCAGTGAAGCTCAAAATTGAGGGTGCCTCAGAATCAGCTCCAGGGCTTGTCCCAACAGGGCTGGCTGTCTGGGCTCCACCCCCAGAGTTTCTGATTGGAAGCTCCAGGGTGGGGCTAGAACATTTGCATTTCTAACAAGTTCCCAGGTGACAGTGACCACACCTTGAATAGCCCTGACGTCAGGGATATTCTCAGGAAATGGCAGGCTGGCAGAGCCCACCGCCTCCAGGATGGAGGTGTGAAGATGGAAGCCCAGGAAATGGAGGGTGTAGAAATGCTTGGAAGACTGCAGGCAAGAGGAGAGCTGGGTTTAGAGGACATGGTGTGCAGCCTGCGGCCAGGAGCCCAGTCACGGGCAGCAGAGGCCAGGGGACTTGCCCAGAAGGCAGGTGGGACGTGTGCATCAGCGGCAGCTGCAGAGGGTAGACACCCAGGAGAGGAGACAAGGCTGGGAGCAACATTGGGATCAGAGACCCCTTCCCCAACCATGAGACTGTCAAAACTCTCAATTCCACCCCACTTTAGACATCACCCTGGAGAAGAGATGAAAGAGGGTAAGAAACCCTGGTAAGATTGAGCATTTGCCTCCAAAGAGCCTGAGTGGACCTGGAATGGCACAATGTAGAATTTCTTGCCAAAACTTCGTTGATCAACCCCTCTGCTCCTAGCAGGGCACAAAGAAGTGGCCCTGCAGTTGCAGCGTGATGGTTAAGAGCACAGACTGTGGAGTCAGTTCCTTGCGATGACGCAACCCTGGGCAGGAGACACCCTCTCTGAAGCTCAGTCTTGTCTAATGTACATCGAGAATGAAAATGTCATAGGATTGAGAGGTTTAAGGGAGACCACGCAGGCAGTAGAGTGCAGAGCCAGTGCCTAGCACAGAGCAGAGACTCAGTAAATGGTATTTATTATTATGGGTTTATTTAAAATTGTTTGCCTGCTTCATTTTTCCTTTTCTCTTCCTCTTTTCCGAACTACTGGCACCTACTAAGTCCCCGACTTAGATTTTGCCTCCTTGGAACTCAGATCTACAAGGGGGAAGCAGACAGGTCAACAGGCAGTTCCCAGCTGTGGGCGGGTGCGGTGTTGGGGTAACCCTGGGGACAAGAACTCAGAGAAGCCTTCCCCAGGGATGAGAGCTTGTTTAGCTGGCTTTGTGAGGCTCATAATAAGTCAAAAGAAAGTTTTAAAAGGAATAGTCACACTTGGGAAGGAAAGAGTGAAAATTATAAAATTTCTCTCTTAGTCAAGGTTCAAACATATAATTCTCATGCATAACAATTCATAATGGGAGGCGGGAGAGTATGGTCGACTTCAGGATCAGAAAGAAACGGAGTTGGAACCCAGACCCTGAGGTTTACCAAAGTATGTGACCTGGGGCTACTTACTTAACCTCTCTGAGCCTCAGTTTTCCTGATGTGTAAAATGAGACTAAAGATAGCTACTCAATATGAGTTCGTGGTAAGAATTAAAGGAGGCAGATTATGTAAAGCACCTAGCGTATATTTATTTGCTCACTAAATCTGAGTCCACGTCTGGAGAGTGGATCAGGGCTGTTTCCTCTCCATCCTGTGTCCAAAGTAGGGCTGTCACTTTCTGTCTCTTCCTTGGTGCTCTGGATCGTGATGAACCGATGACACACCTGTCTTCCCTGCCAGCCTGGGCTCTCCTTGAGGACGGGATCTGATTAAGGGTGTGTTTTGTGTATCGTTTTGCTCTGGGAGGTACGTACAGAAATGTTCATAGCACTGTTTGTAATAGCCCCAAACTGGGACGTCCCAAATACCCATCGACAGCAGACTGTGTAAACAATTGTGCTATATTCTCCAGTGGAATGTTACACAGCAGTGAAAATGAACGACTTACAACTAATACCATCCAGGACTCTCAGGACTATGATACTGAACCAAGAAAAGCAAGTTACAGCAGAATATATTCAACATGATTCTTATATACACTTTATAAACATGCAAAACCAAGTTGTATTTTTTACAGATGCAAACATAGATGAGAAAATAATTTTTAGAATAAGGGAATGATAGACACACAATTCAGGATAGGGGTTTCTTCTAGAAGGAGGGAAGGCCCAGGGCAAGGAAGGGCAGATGGTAGCACGGAGGTGGTTGGGCTGGGGGAGGGGTGCAGGAATGTGGAAGAAATTGCCTGTTCATTTTTTTATGTTGTATTTATAACATAAATGTTAAAAATAAATTATAAAAGTATTTTTCTGGCTGGGCACTGTAATCATGCCTGTAAACCTAGCACTCTGGGAGGCTGAGGCAAGAGGATCACTTGATCTCAAGAGTTTGAGACCAGCCTGAGCAAGAGTGAGACCCTGTCTCTACTAAAAATAGAAAAATTAGCCAGGCATGTGCCTGTAGTCCCAGCTACTCGGGAAGCTGAGGCAGAAGGATCGCTTGAGCCCAGGGGTTTAAGGTTGCTGTGAGCTAGGCTGATGCCATGGCATGCTAGCCCGGACAACAGAGTGAGACTCTGTCTCAAAAATAAAGAAATGTTCTGTACTTACTCAATACTTAATATAACAGGGTGATTTCTCAACTAAGCAGCTTTCGAGGAAGGGACCCACTGGGACAGGGAGGATGTGAGTGGCCCTGAAAAAGGAGCCACTTGTGGTTATAGGGCCTTGGGGCTATAGGATCTGCTCTATGAGGAAGCAGTGGGGACATGTCCCTCGAGAAGAGCCTTCCCTTTGCTGTAACTCCACTATCATCGAGGGACTCTCAGGTTTCCCTTCCCAAGTCCCTGGATCCAAGAAAGGAGGGGCCCAGAGTAGGAGGGAAAGGATAGGTGTCCACCCCAATGAAGCACTGGGTTGGCTTCTGAGTTCACATCAGGGGCCTGTGAATTTTACTGCTTTCTGGAGATCATACCTTTAGAAGTCCCTGAGAGCCCCGAGTGGAGCACCTGGTGCACAGTGAATGCTCAGTAAATGTCCCTTCAGGAAAAGGAAATGTCCTCATAGCATGATTCCCAGCTCCATGCCAGCATGGGGGAAAGGACACTGTGTGACTTTAGAGGCTGGGTTAGAGGAAGCCTGGTAGCTTCTGCCTTGGTCTCTTGGAACGCTGGCTTTTGCTGCATGTGGAACCCAAATTCAAGTCACCAGATTTAATCTACAGCAGCTTTTCAAGAGCTCAGTAACTGGCAAATCTAAGATAGAGGACGTATTCTACGGGGAATTTCCTCCAATGGACAGGGCGCTTCTCTAGGTAGAAAGTTTCCCATGGTGCCCAGCCCTGGCATTCCAGTGACAGCGCCCACTCCAGCTCCCATGTCTGAACTGCAGCCTTTCTGAAGCCCAGATCCTGGGTTCTGGATTCTGGATTCCGGAGGGAGTGGGCTGGGAGTGGGGACCCAGGGAATTGCTCGGGGCTTTAGTTTAGGAATTTCTCCCCAGTGGTGGGACCCAGGCAAGTTTCCTTCCCTCCCTGGGCCTCAAGTTCCTTATCCCCCCTTAACAATGGGGGGGGGGGCAAATTGCTGTTCCTCATGGGGTGGCTGCAGGGGACAAAAAGAGACGATGTCCACAAAGTGCTGGGACAGTCCCAGCTCAGGCAGAGGTTAGTGAAAGGTGCCTCTACTTCTCCTTCCCCAAACTTGAGGGGATGAAGGTGGGATTTTCCTGATCAGAGTCAAGGAGGAGGCTTAGAAGCGGGCAGTGGAGCCTTCCTATTTCCTCCGGGTCTTCTTCCTCCTCTATGCACCCCACCTCAGCTCCCCTCTCCTTCCCTCATCCCACTACCCTGTCCCCACCCCACCCAGCCCAACTTCTCCAGCTTGGTGGCTGTTGGGGACATATCCTTGTGCAGTGTGATAAGCTTTCAGAGCCTCTCGCTCAATTTTTTTTTTTTTTTTTGAGACAGAGTCTCACTTTGTTGCCCAGGCTAGAGTGAGTGCCAGGGCATCAGCCTAGCTCACAGCAACCTCAAACTCCTGGGCTCACGCAATCCTGCTGCCTCAGCCTCCCAAGTAGCTGAGACTACAGGCATGCACCATCATGCCTGGCTAATTTTTTCTATATATAATAGTTGACCAATTAGTTCCTTTCTATTTATAATAGAGACGGGGTCTCGCTCTTGCTCAGGCTGGTTTCGAACTCCTGACCTTGAGCAATCTGCCCGCCCTGGCCTCCCAGAGTGGTAGGATTACAGGCGTGAGCCACCGTGCCCGGCCAAATTTCTAGAATTAAAACAATCACAGATCAAAAGCTCCTTGAAGGACAGGGAGGCTGGATGCTCCTGAGACAGAACTCTGCCATAACATCACAACCACCTGCTATATATCTTTGTTCTACCACCCTCAAAGGGAATGGGAGCTGTGGCAATGTACAGGGTGAGTGTGCATGGACAAAAGGGACTATCAGGACCTTTAGGGTAGCTTACCCTGAGTTTAACACTAGTCCCTGAAGACATAATGCCACTGGGGTCCATGAGCCTGGTTTCTGGCTTCCCCACAGAACACCAGGCTGGTCCACTATCTTGATGACATCATGCTGATAAGACTAGGCCCTGGTGAGCAGGAAGCAGCTGACACCCCAAATCCCCTGGTAAGAAACACGCATGCTGGAGGTGGGAGACAAACCCCACAGAAGTTCAGGGACTGGGACCTTAGTGATGTTCTTGGGGGTCCAGTGGTCTGAGGCATGTCCTGTTTTCCTCACCAACGCTTGGTATGGTCAGTCTTTTTAACTTTAACCACTCTAGTGGAGACATGTAGTGACTCCTCATGTGGCTTGGATACACACTTACCTAATATTAGTTGAGAATCTTTGCGTGTCCTTATTTGCCAACCAGATAGCTTCTTTGGTAAAGTAGATATTTTTCCCATTTTTAAATTGAGTTACTTATTTTCTAATGATTCAGCTTTGAAAGTTCTTTATATAATCGGGATACAAGTTCTTTACAAGATATATCATTTACAGATATTTCCTCCTAGTATGTAGAATGTCTTTTCATTCTCTTAACAGTGTCTTTCAAAGAGCAGCCACTTTTAATTTTTATGAAGTCCAGTTTATCAATTTTTTTTCTTATAAGGATCGTGCTTTTGGTGTTGTATCTAAGACATCTTTGCCTAACCCAAGGCTCCATGTATTCTCTCCTATGTTTCTTCTATAAATTTTATGGGTTTAGGTTTTACATTTAGCTCTATAATCCATTCTGAGTTAATTTTTACATATGATGCCATGAGTAGATGGAACTTTTGAAATTTTTATTTTTTGCTGTTGTTTGTGTTTAATATATGGATCAGCAATTGTTCTAGCACCACTTGTTGGAAGACTATCCTTCTTCCATGATGTGCCTTTGCATCTTTGCCCCAAATCACTTACACATATAAGTGTGTATTTCTGGACTCTCAGTTCTGCTGTATTGTTGTATTTGTTTATCTGGATGCCAGTATCACACTATCTTGATTACCGTAGCTTACTCTATTCCAAGACAAAGGCATAACTGATAAAAAGAGAAAATTTTTACTGTACATTTAATATATATTAATGTGTGTGTGTTTCAAATAAGCACTTGCCAAGAAATAAATTTTATTTTCCTTGGAAGGTTGGGAAGTTACATGTCCCCTACCTCAGTTCCACCTCTAGGTGTTGTCTGATCAGGACTGAAGGGAAAGGGACTAGAAAACCTCTCATCTTCTAGAGGCAATACTTTTCTTAATATGGCCCAAGATCACTTTAGCTCTGTGGTGGTTACTGTTGACTCACTTAAAGCTTGCAATAAACTAAAAGCCCTTTGTTTTACAAGTGATCCTACTAAGCCTGGTCAAGTCAAACCCTTTGCACTGACCAGTGTGCACTTTATATTACATAGTTTTTGATTAGTAATTATGTGCCTAGCCTCATTCGAGGTACTTCACATAATGAATTACTGTTATGGCTACCACGTACTGAGCACTTTTACTATGCACCAGATATTGTGCTAAACACTTTGCATACTTCATTAAAGCCTTACAACAACCACTTAAAACAGGCTTTATTAGCCTCACTTGATGGTTGAAGACATTGAGAAATTTAGGTGTGATGTTTTTTCCCAGATTATCAGCCAATAGGTGGCAGAGCCAGGAGTTGACTTCAGCGCCCATGCTGTCCTGCTTCTCAGCTTGCAGAGGTGAGGAATCGAGGCTCAGAGAGGTTAAATACCTCACCCAAGGTCATACAGGTGGTGAGTGATAGACCAGTGGCTATGTGGGCCAGGTCTGCCCGCCACCAAAGCTGGGCTATTTCACCTCTGCCCTTGGGAGACAGAGTGCTTGTAAAGAGTCTTGAGCATGAGTAGGTCTGGGGCAAGTCACCGAGGCTGGAGTGATGACCCCTACCATATGTTAGGGACTTTTAAATTATAAAGCACCAACCAAATGTACGGGGGTGTCATTACCATCATTGCCGTTATCCTGGCTTGCCAAGCCTATTTTGGGAGACTTTGAAGGACGGCCTTCACGGTGTCAGTGATTGATTTAGTTACATGATACAGAAGCCCACTCCAGCTAGTTTAAGAAAAAGTGTAATTCGGTAGAAGGAGGCAGGGCTAGCTCACACGTCTCAAGGGCAGGCGAGTCACACAGGACCTCACTGCCTGGACGGGCTCCCTGGGCATGCCCACCTTCTCCTGTGCTTCTGTCAGAGCACTGGTTTCCTTCTTCTCTTTCAGATGAGTGTCCCAAGTGTGTCTCCTCAGCGGTCCGTCTACATTTCCCAACCCAGGCTGGACCTGCAGCTAACTCTCCGGGTGCTCCTTGTCCTAACCCCAAAGCTCGGGAATCTGATTGGCCTAGCCTGGCTTCTGGAGAGATTCCCTTTGAGTCAGATTCCCTTTGAGTCTTGTCCCTCTGCCCCACCAGCCGGACAAGAAGGGGCTGGGCTGCACTGAAGAGGCAGGGACCCAGGAGCACCACCCCTACTGGGGGGATCAGAAAGGGGCTTGTGGGCAGAGCAGGTACAAAAGAATGAACTACTTCAGTTTGGCCTACCCTTGAGACCAGGAGGAGGCCAGTTTGGTCACATTTCTGCCCAGTTATTTCTTAGTGCCAAGCTTCTTCAGGGGTTAAATGCTTTTATCTGGTATCCTAGTGTCTCTACAAACTCTGGAAGATTCTGAGAAAATCCAGTGAAGTATGTGTAACTCATGCTTTTGGGGCTGTTTAAGGCTCCCAGGGACTTGCCGACTTGTTTGTCTTAGTCCCTGACAGACCAATCCCAGGGGACCTCTTGTCTTGCCTTCCTGAGTCACTGCTCAGGCTTAGAAACATGACAGGTACATTTGTTGCTTTCAACCAGCTACTTCTCCACTGATCCCATCTGGTCTCTGTGTTTTCCTTTGTGGGTGTGACTCTTTGAATCATAGACTTCTAGAATGTTAGGACGGGAAGATCATTGCGCCCAAATGCCTCCACCTCTTGGCTGTGGAGACTGAGACGCACAGAGGGGAGATGAATGGATGCAGATATGCCCAAAGGTGGTGCAGGGAGGATTTTAGGCGCCAGGTGGAGAGACATGTTATTGTAACAGCTATGTTTAAACAAACTACACTAGTGTGTAGGCTGAGGCTAAATCCATTTCCATAAAATAGTCAAATAAAGAAAAACGTGAAGTAAAAGAGTCTTACAAGTTGTATTGGATAAGATAAAATGATGAAAGTATAGGAGAATGAGTGACGTTTGGGAAACACCACATTGATGAATGAGTGAGTAAGTGAATGGATGGATGAATAAATGAATAGATAATGGAGAACATTAAAATCTTTAGGATTCGTTTTCTTATAGACTCAGAAATATTCCCCATCCTTGCATTTCAAGTCAGAGAATCATCGTGACTCCATGAAACACCAGCCCCACCTCCACAGGTGCTAGGCTTCCTAGGAGGTAGGACATGAATTGTTTACTGTGCTGTTCTCTTTTTCCCAGTCAGCAAATTCTAGCCTCAGGGCAACTGAGTCTACCTTTCAAGGTGAATGTCTTGGGCTCTGGTTGCCCCGCCCCTTCTGAGCTGCTCTGACCTTGTTCCTTCTTAAAGTAGCAGATGGGGTCTTTGGCTTCCCACGGGGATCCCGAGTTGTAGCCTTCTTGGCAAAACCCTAGGCCCAAGCCAGTGAGTCACAGAGGGGAAGCACCCCGGTGGAATTTGCACAGGACTAACGACTTTGGGCAAGTCCCTTCCCTCCTTTGCTGGAACTCAGAGGCTTCCTCTGATAAACAAGAGGGTTTAACTCCACTTCATTGGTATGTTCATTCAATAAACACCTATGGAGTTCTTGCTGCATTCCTGGCATTTGCTTAGTCTGTGGGCAGAAAAATAGAGTAATTGGGCTCAGTGCCTGGAATAATCCCAGTCAGGCGGGGCGGGGGAGAAGGCACATACGGGCATGTAATTACAGATAGTTTGGTAAGTGCTGGGTGACGTGGACAGTCCCTGCCAGACCTGGGATCCCCAGAATGTGTCAGCCCAAGAATACATGAACAACTTGGCTAGGTCATGGGGCTGCATCCAGAAAGGGGTTGGTCCGGGAAGGTGAGGACGGACCTAGGCCCAGCTCCAGATCCTTCCTCCATCTTACAGCAAAGCCAGTGAATGTGGACTTTGGAGTCAAGCAGATTGGTGTTTCAACCCCAGCGCAGACACCAGCTAGAACTAGAAGCTGCACTCTCTGGGCTTGAGTTTCTTCCTTTATCAAAGGGGGATAGTTCCCCCAGGCCCCCAGGACTCGAGGAGGCTCCATAAGATAAGTGTAATGTCAAGAGCTTGGCACAAGGCCTGGCACATAGCCTGGTTCCCCCATCCAGGCAGGAGGTGGGGGAGTGGACTCCCCCCCACCCCAACACACACACCTCTTGCCTCCAGTGGCTGGCCCTGGGGCAGGCGCTCTTGCTGGGGGCCTCTTGCTCAAGAGGTCTTACCCCAGCCCTTCCTTGACCCTGTAATGCTCTGGTGGGCTCTCCTCTTCCCAGGCCAGAGCTTTGCCCCTGTGTTTCTCTGCTTCCAGAACTGGCTGTGAACTTGGTATGTGCCAGAGACAGGGAGGAGACTGGTGGGGCTGGGACTCCTCTGGGGAGGGCCTACAAGGGCTGCAGGTTCCCTCCTCTGTTCCCAGCAGTGGGTTAGCATTGGAGCTGCCCTCTCTTGCCCCAGAACTTTCCCAGGACAAGATGACATCCTTCCTCCCTTCTTGGAGGCAGGACTGAGTGGCTTCCTAGAAAAAGGCAGGCAGGACAAGCCTAGTATCACTGTCAGACACACCCAGGGGAGGGGGAGGGAACCAGGCTGGGCAAGAGGATGGGAGCAGTGGAAGGAACAGGTTCTCCCACGTTCTTGGCAGGCCCCAGGATTCCAAAGCACTTTCTGTTTTTGTCATTGCCCTGCCAATCACATACTCTGCACCAGGCTCTCTGGAGCACCAAGCCCTTCCACCTGCACTTCTCATTCTTTACAACACCAAGAGATGGGTGCCAGTGGCTCTGGGTTACAGATGAAGAAACCGAGGCTCAGAGAGAAAGAATCACATGTCCAAATCTGGAAGGGCTGATAGAAGAGAACTAACCTTTCACTGATAAGCTGCTAAGAGCAAGGTCTATTCCAAACAAGAATCATTCCTCTTCTCAATAGTCCAGATAGGTGCCCATTTTACAGATGAGTAGACCCAAACTCAAACTGGTAAAAGCACTTGCTTGGGGTCCCAGAACTAGTAAGCTCAGAGCCAAGATGTGAGCCTGGATATGTCATGCTCCGGGTTCCACTGTGATAACCTTCCTTCCATGTCATAGGCCAGGAAGCCCTCAGGTCACACCACAAGCAAGTGGCAAAGCTAGTTTTGTTTTTATTTTTTTTAGGAAAAATAGTTTAATGGTGGGTTTTTAACCTCTTCTCTCACTGAGGTCCCCTTCTCAGTGGAACCCCCACACCAGTGCTCTTCCCATGCCTGCTGGGAGGTAGCAGACCCTCTCTGGAGGGCACCCACCCAATCTCCATGTCCTTACCCTCCTGGGAGACCGGCTCTGTGTCTAGGCCTTCGTAAGCCCATCACATGTAAGTTTATAAAAAGTGGGCAGAACACTGTACTGTACTGGCCTCTTTCCTAGATGCCATGGGACCAGCACCTTCCTGCCCTATAGTTAAATAGTCCATTAAATAATCTCTTGCTGCTGGCAGAGAGGAGGTGCTGCAGCAACAAGCCCCTGCCTGGGCTGGGCGCCTGAGCCCCAGGGCCTCCACCCTGACTGGATCTGGGCTCCACAGGAGTGGCCAGTCATGGCCTCATCTCAGACCTGGCCGGTTCCAGGACTCCGTCCACAAACAGACGGCGAGTCCAAGTGGGTTATGCTGGCATCAGGCACAGCCATGGATGGGGGTCAGCCAGGCAGCAGAGCAGGCAACTGATGGGTTGCAGCTCTCACCCAAGTCAGAAGGACGTGAGGTTCTTTTTTTTTTTTTTTTTTTTGTGTCTAAGGGCAACAGGCAGGACGTGAGGTTCTTGATGGCTCCGATCTCCAGCATCCGCTTAATGGCCAGGGCCTCCTGGGAGACATTATGGCCGGACCCCGCCATGGACTTGAGTGTGATCTGCTCGTAGTAATGAATAGTCTGCTTCTTGTTGTAGGCGTCTGGGTAGCCAAAGCCAGCGATGTGCACCAGGTCACACAGGTGGAGGGCCAGGGTGATGGCCAGCAAGCCTGTAGTGGGCTTCTGCTTGATCTTTCGTAGCTGCTGCATTGGCAGGCTCAGCAGCTTGTCAGCCGCGATCTCCATGAAGAAGGGGTTGAGAATCTGAATCTGTTTGGGGTTGACTTCCCAGATGAGGGGAGGCTGTCTCCAAAAACCTTTTCGCACCCGCTTCTTATCGCTCAGGATAGTCTCGATCCAGTGGAAGTCCATCGCCTTGAAAGCCACCAGGACCAGAAGTGTCTCTGGGTTGTTTTCCACTTTGGGGTCAAAGTGGGCAGATTCAGGGTAGAAGAGACGCATGGTGGTCTTGGAGCCCACATCGCCCTCATAGCCAGCCACTGGGGCATTGTTCAGACTGATGACCACATTGTACTTGTTGATGGTGTCTCCCAGCGAGCTGTTGCACAGCCAGTGCCCGTTCCCCACCACCACGCAGCGGCGGCACTTGAGGCTCTGGATGCTCTGGGGCACAGAGTGGCTGGTGATGGCTAGCACTTGGAGGAGCAGGTCTTCACTCCCTTTGGTCCCATAAGGCAGCTCGTAGGCAGACGGTGTCTTGACCCAGAAATAATCCTTAAGCTGCAGGAAGATGGGCTGATCTCGGGAGTAGTTGCCAAAGAGCTTAGAGGCCTTCCTCTCTGCCTCACCCTGGAGGCACGGCTCCCTCTTCTCTGGGATGGGAAAGTAAAAACTGTCCTCTCGGGAGATGGAATACCACACCATGACGACCAGCACCAAAGCCAGCATGGCCAGCAGCTTCCAGCGGGACTTGCTGATCATGTTCCTCAGCAGGCAGCAGGGTTCCTGGGGAGAGCTGTCATCCTGGCTGCCTGGCGGTCCCGCCAGGGCCGGCCGCAAAGCTAGTTTTGAACCCATGTCTGTCTAACTCTGAAACGCCTGCCTTTCCTGCATGCCACCTTATCTCAATAAAACCTTTCTCATGGAGTAACTGACTGATACCAAATGACTACAAATATGTCTCAAGGAGATAAAGACTCAGGACAGAAAGGGCCAGGAACTATTATCATTATTATCATTAACACTATTATTATATTAATTGCTAACATAGCAGGGTCAACATTTATACTGTATGATTCAGAATTGCAGGAATAAGACTTTTCTTCTACAACTGAACCCAACTTGATCACAAGTCCCCTTCCCCTGACTTATTTCTGGGTCAAAGTGTATTCTCTTTAAGATGACTAAGTACAATGGGTAATTGTGTATTTTCTTTTGCTATAAAGGACTTTTGGGAGCTGGGCATGGTGGCTCATGCCTGTATTCCCAGCACTTTGGGAGGCTGAGGTGGGAGGATCACTTGGGACTAGGATTTCGAGACCAGCCTGGGCAACACAACGAGACCCCGTCTTTACAAAAAGTAGAAAAATTAGGCATGGTGGCACATGCCTATAGTCACAGCTACTAGAGAGGCTGAGAAGGAAGGATCTTTTGAGTCCAGGAGTTTGAGGAGCCACTACACTCTAGCCTGGGTGATGGAGTGAGACACTGTCTCAAAAAAAAAAAAAAGGCCATTTGGGACAATTGGTAAAATCTGAAATAAGTCTATAGATCAGATAATAGTATTGTATAATATTAATTCTCCAATTTTGATAACTGTATTGTGGTTACATAGGGTTATGTCCTTGTTTTTAGGAAATATACATTGAAGCATTTATAGGTAAAGGGGCATTATGTTGACAACTTTTAAATACTTGAGGAAAAAATATACACCCACGTGTGCACATACACATAGAAGAATAAAGCAAATGTAGTAAAATGTTAACATTCAGGGAAATTTAGATGAAAGGCATCTTGGAATTCTTTGTATTCTTGCAACTTTTCTGTAAATGTGAAATTATATTAAAATTTTAAAGTTTAAATTTTTAAAATGTACTCTTTTTTGGAAAAATAGTCAGTTCAGGATCTGAATTTGCTGTTAGGGTGGCTTGTTTTTCTTGGTGCAGCAGAGGAGCCTTATCACACACCAACGGCCTTGGGCCCGCACTCTGGCCCTGCTGGCCCTGCTGGCCCTGGCACTCTTTGGCCCTGTCAGCTCTCCCCATGGCTTCTCTGCTGGCTTTGGGCCCACACATACGTCACTCCTGAAGTCTACGGTCACCGTGTCTGTTGTCAAGGCCATGCACTCTGAGTCCTCCTCATCCTGACCCAAGGCTCTTGCAATCGATGTGTTATCAGGGCTCAAATATGCGCAACTGGAAACTTCTGTTGCTTAACCGTGACCCACAGAGGCCTCCTGGCGAGCAGACACTCATAAGAGTCAGTCCCATCAGGAAAACAGAAAGCAGGCTGGTTGTTTTAAGAGAGAGAATTTAATATAAGGAATTGGGTAAACTGTTTGACAACTGGCAGAGCAAACAGGGAGACAGCAGAGGTAACTGCAGGACACAGACGCCAGCCCGAGGGAGGGAGAACAGAGGAAGAAGTCGGGATTATCAGAGCCCAGCAGAGCCAGAGCCCGGGGAAGGCAGCCTGTGGCTGGTGCTGGTGCACCCGAGGGGCCACGACCAGGCTGGCTCTGGGAACGAGGGAAAACCCAGAAACTGGAACCAGGTGCTGCAGGGACCAACTGCCACTGCCAGGGTAAAGGCCGCCGCCGAAGGCAACCCGAACGGAAGGCAACACAAACCGAAAAGTCAAAACCCTCCCCCCGGGAACGGCCCAAACCCCCAAGGCCCCCCAAGGCCAAGGCCCAACCCGGAAGCAACCCGCAAAAAAAAAAAGGGGGGGCAAAACCCCCGCCCAACCACAACAAAAAGAAAAAAAAACGGAAGGGCCGGTGCCGGGAACCGAACGGTAAAAAAGGGCAAAAACAGACGCAGGGAAAGGGCGGGGAAGCGGGGGCAGACAAGGGCAGAGAATCTCTGCCCAAACAGCCATCACACCCACTCCACCTCTGTGAGGTAGTGTCCTTTCTAGAACTCTGGGGTCATCTATCAGCGTCCCGTGGGTATGCACCCTGGGCAGGGCCCAGACTCCAAACCCAGGGGCTTACTCTATTTTCTCTCAGTTTCTCAGCCCATCCAGGAGGAGTTCCTTGTCTGACATGAGACATCACCTACGCTATGACTTCAGTAAAAACTTTTACTCTCTAGGTCATCCGACTTTCATTTCTTGATATTTATTTATTTAGACAGAGTCTCCCTTCTGTTCCCCGGGCTAGAATGCTGTGGCGTCAGCCTAGCTCACAGCAACCTCAATCTCCTGGGCCAAAGTGATCCTACTGCCTCAGCCTCCCGAGTAGCTGGGACTACAGCCATGCACCACCATGCCCGGCTAATTTTTTCTATATATTTTTAGTTGTCCAGCTAACCTGCCTCAGCCACCCAAAGTGCTAGGATTATGGGCGTGCACCCAGCCCATTTCTTGATATTTAAAGAGAAGATTTTGAAATTCTGAAAATTTTTTTCCTCTCCTGTATACATTGACTCTTATAGTTGAATGCCTGGATCTTTTCTTCTTTTTGACCTTGATCTTCTTTTTGACCTTGTTTGTTTTTTGTTTGTTTGAGAGTTGGGGTTTCATGCTGTAGCCCAGGCTGGAGTGCACTGATGTCATCATAGCTCACTGCAGCCTCGGAGTCCTGTGCTCAAGTGATCCTCCCGTCTCAGCCTCCCCAGCAGCTGGGAATATAGGGGAATGCCACCATGCCTGGCTCTGAATGCTTGGAGCTTTGAGATATTATACTTTGGACTTTTCTTTTTTTTTTTTTATTTATTTTGAGACAGAGTCTCACTTTGTTGCCCAGGCTAGAGTGAGTGCCGTGGCGCATCAGCCTAGCTCACAGCAACCTCAAACTCCTGGGCTTAAGCAATGCTGCTGCCTCAGCCTCCCGAGTAGCTGGGACTACAGGCATGTGCCACCATGCCCGGCTAATTTTTTCTATATAAATATTAGTTGGCCAATTGATTTTCTATTTATAGTAGAGACGGGGTCTGGCTCTTGCTCAGGTTGGTTTCGAACTCCTGAGCTCAAACGATCCGCCCACCTCGGCCTCCCAGAGAGCTAGGATTACAGGCGTGAGCCACCGCTTTCTTTAGAGTCTGACATTCAGTGCTGAACAATGACATCATTCTCTCAGGCTATACTCCACTGCTCCTTTAGACAATGAGTAAAGGGCCATTAAACAGCAGCAGCAGCAGCAACAACAACAACAACAAAATGTTGGTGAAGAATAAAACCCTCCATTAAAAGACTTCAAATCATCCCCTGCTCTAACACGGACTGAGTACTAACTACATGCTTGGCACACGCTAAGTGCCATGGCCACCATCACGTTGGTCCTCCCACCAGCCCTGTGAAGGAGGCGTGATGGTCGCTTTGACGTCAAGGTCTGAGCTGTTCCCCACTGTGCGACACCACTTTTCTGGAGTCAGTTCTAGCCTTTTACCTTTCGGGAAACTGAGGCCTAAGAGGGAGCTATGCAAACCAGTAGTGAACACAAGTTCTGGAACAGTTTAGCATTGGGCGAGTCACCTAAGCTCATTTTATATAAAATGGGCATGTTGTGAGGATTTGAGATAATAGATGTGACGTTTTGGGCGCAGTGCCTGGAAAACAGTAAGTATTTGATAAATAATGGTACTATTGCTACTAATGACAATAATTAACCTTTATCGACTGGTTACTGTGTCAGGTACAGGGCTAAGCACTTTCCATGTGTTAGTTATTTTATTAACATGATAATACGCAGTTTCCCTTCAGGCTGGAGCACATGGGCCTGCTGTCTCTCTTCCCATCCAATCCTGCTGAAAAACTTCAAGCTTTGGTCTTGTTCATGCTGCCCCCCAACCCCCGGTCATAGCTCTGAGTGCGAATAATGTCAGCCCAGAAGAGGAAATCCATTGCCCTGGACTGTATACATCCACCCGGATCCTTGGACACGTCTACGCAACCTAGTGCTTTTTGTTACATTGTTGCTGTTGGTTTCTTTCATCCAGCTACTTGAGTGTTGTCTAAACTGCAGTTCCCAACCTTTGTAAGAACACTTTTGTTTCCTTGATTCTTAGTTTAATTGAGACATTTGAAGTTTTTTGTGATTTTATTATTCTTTTATTTTGAATTGTTATTTTGAAATGATTTTAGATTTATAGAACAGTTGTAAAGATGGAACAGAGATTTCCCATCTGCCTGTCACCCATCTTCCCTTAATGCCACACAGCACGTCAGTCAAACTGAGACAGTGACATTGGCACAACACTATACACTACAGACTTAGCTTGGATTTCACCAGTTTTTTCATTAATGTCATTTTCCTGTTTCAGGGTTCCATCTTGGATATCATGTTGTGTGTGGTCATCATGTCTCCTTGCTCTCTTCCAATCTATGACAATTTCTCAGTCTTGTTTTTTCATGACCGTGGCACTTCTGAAAAGTACTGGTTAGGTATTGTGTAGAATGTCTCTGAGGCTTTGTCTGATGTCTCTAGTGATTAGACTGGAGAGATTATCACAGAGGTGAACTGCCCGTCTCCTTGAATCACATCTGGGGATATATAATATGGACATGACTAGGAACCGGTGGTGTTAACTGTAATCACTTGGGCAAGGTGATGTCTGCCAGTTCTCTCCATTGTAAAGTTGCCACTTTCCCTCTCTCCACACTCTAGAAGCAAGTCACCAAGTTCTGCCCACACTCAAGGGGAAGAGAATTAAGCTCCACTTCCCAGAGGAGGAACATCAGAGAATTTGTGGACATCTGTTAATATCACTATGGTAATTAATATTTTGAAGAAAACACTTTGAGGCTATACAAATATTATATTTCTCCTTAACACTTCACCCACTCTTTCAGCATTTATCAGTGGATCTTGCCTGC